CAGATCGCTATGGGTTGGAACCGACTTGGAGGCACTTAACAACAACACCAAATACAATAGGCAAACCAGTGTAGTCAAACATACCAAGAATCATGAAAATCATTCAGAACCGGGCAATGTTTCATTCTGTTGTATGTAAGGTTACCATTAGTCAGAGTTGATGTTATTAGTCAAGGGCAAATAACAATAACAAACAGACACAAAGACAGGATGGGACATGCAAAAGATTGATTGAAGGAACATGTGTGACAGATTCAAGGGGAGGGATCAGAGTAGGTAGAGAAAGCCTTGAGAAAATGAGACAGATCTGCCATTTATGAAAGGAGAGACGGAAAGAAGATCATGTAATAAGAGCCTGAGTCTTCTATATATTTGAGAAAATCTGGGCCCAGAATGGGCTGGCACCAGCACTCTGCCCTGATCACACATTGACTTCAAGTATGAAGGGTAAGCCTGATATAAGATCAAAAGGGTACAGTGGACCCAAAGACAGCAGCTGGCATTGTCCGTGAACTGTGATCCCTGCAACAATTCTTAAAAGGAGATCTGAATAGCACACCTCCCTAGCGGCCAACAAGGTCATATAACTCCTAATGCCCTGTAGACTATAGCTCTTGGGAAAGCATTTCCTGCTACCAAAACTAGCTCATTCCCTAGCTTTCTTTTTAGAGTAGTTAGAAAGAGTTATTTGTGCAATTATCTGATGAATGCCTGCCCCATCCATTAGACAGTACGCTTCAGAAGAGCATCTCTTTCGTTGAATGGTTATTTGTTCCCACGTTTTAAATTAAGTAGCCTATGCTAGAGATCCTCTCTTATTAAAGGGCTGGTGTGAGGATTGAAAAGTTCACACACCATGCACTAGGTACAGTGTGTGCTGCTATTGCTCTTCTCCCAGCCTCTATAGGGCATGTTATGACCAGTTACCATGGCATTGACTACAAATCATGATGACCTCATGTGAACTGTACTCCCCAGGTTTTTCAATGGCTGATCTTTCAGAAATAGATCACCAGGCCTTACTTCCAAGGTACCTCTGGGTGGATTCAAACCAACTTTTCTGTTAGCTGCCGGGTATGTTTGCTATGAGTACCACCAGGGACGCTGTGCAGTATAAAGTCGTTCACAAATAGATTAGGGTGAACCGAATTTACATGTAATTATTACATGCAACTTTCTAGCAAAAGTCCACATTATGGGTTCATTTTCAGAATATCTTCTTATTTCCTTCAAACAACTCCAAGCTAAAGACTGCCTCCAGTATCTGAAGAACATAAACCTTATATTACTATCACAAAGAAGAGCCAGTTGCCAAGGGCTGGGGGAACCAAGAGAAAACCCCTTCCAGAAAACTCTGTTTTAGTTTAATATTTAAGTAGATGTGATATAAGTTACTATGCCATCAAGTCGGTTCCGATTCATAGAGACCCTGTAAAAGGAGCTCTGGTAGTGTAGTGGTTACGAGTCGGGCTGCTAACCTCAAGGTTAGCAGTTCGAAACTATCAGCTGTTGTGTGGGAGAAAGATGAGGCTTTCTGCTCCTGTAAAGATCTGCAGCCTTGGAAACCCTGTGCAGGGTCACTATGAGTCGGAACTTACGTCACAGCACACAGCCACCACCACCCACATATCCCACCAGTTTTCTCTCACTCTGTTAGTGGAAAATATTTTGAGTTTTCCCTCTCTGATAGGTTTCAACCTTACGCAGTTCCGGCATTTGCAGGCTTTACTGTACTTAGAATTGCTTAGCACTAAATATGTCAAGAACTCAGCTTTACTTTAAGGTTTACCAGTGGTCCTCAAAAATTTTAACAGATCACCATAGATTTGTAATAGTGTATCTTATTTATATATGTATGTTGTTGTTAAAGTGCCATCAAGTCGGTTCCAACTCATAACGACATTGTATAGGGTTCCCAAGGAGTGGCAGGTGACTCTGAACTGCCACCCTTGTAATTGAAATTGACCTTGCAACCCAGTGCATTAACCCGCAGCACCAAACCAGGACTCCATGCATTTATGTATAAGTAGGTGTTTTACATCAGTGTGTTTTTACAAAGGACAAACACTGAACTGCAGGGTGATTTAACATAGTGGTGTTAAATCTGACTCAAAGCAACACTGTACAGGGTTTCCGAGCTTGTAAGTCTTTACGGGAGCAGCATGTTTCATCTTTCTCCCAAGGAACAACTGGTCGATTCAAACTTATGGTTAGTTGCTCAACTCATAACCCACTAGGCTACCAGGGTTCCAGACTTAGCATAGTGGTCAGGCAATAAACACAGACAGCCACCCTGAAATGTACTCCCTGGAACATGACATACAAACAAGTTCAAATTGAAAGTGAACACCACAACTTTACTACTAAAGTCCTTAACTTTATCCTTCCTTTTTTCTTAAATTCCCATCAGGGTATCCTTCTAAACTCTCTTTCCCCAAAATAAATAAATGAAACCTTCTTTTGAACTTTCTTAAAAGGGTTTTATTGAGACATTACTTGCCATTCAACCATCCCCCACCCCCACTTCCATTAGAGGAAGTTAAGTGAGATTTCGCAGTAGAATACACATGACTAGTGGAGATGCAACAAGAATCCAGAGTAGTCCAAATAGGATCCTGAATATTAACACCTTTAAGGAAATGGCTCTTAGTGCCCTGTGTACTGCAACTGGACCATTTGCAATCGTCTTAGAAATCACAAGCTATTACCAGTAAGGCCTTTAAGGTCTTTTAATTGAAAAAACAAAAGCAAAACCCACTTCCACCGAGTTGCTTCTGACTCAGTACTGACCCTGTAGGACACAACAAGGCTGTAAATCTTCATGGGTGCAGAGAGCTCATCTTTCTCCCTTGGAGGAGCTGGTGAGTTTTAACTGCTGACCTCATCCCAATGCTTATCCCTCAGTACCACCAGGACTCCTAGTGGTTGTTGTTAAGTGCTGTCAAGTCAGTTCCAATGCATAGACACCCTCCAAGGAGCGGCTGGTGGTTCTGAACTGTCGACCTTGTCGTTTGCAGTCCAGTGCTTATCCTACAGCACCATACCAGGACTTCTCAGGCCTGGATCATTAATCAGAAAACAGCCCCTTTCTAAGCAATTTGGTCCAGTGAGATGCTGGGGCAATTTCTCATCAGATAAGAAAACAAGTGGAAGCAATCGCCATTGCTTATGAGATGGTATGAGTTAGCAAATATGATGGGACTTCAAGAAGCTCATGGAAAAATTCCATTCTCTTATAATTCCAGGTTTCAAAAACTTTTTGAAGCCCTCTTGTAAATGGTTAAAACTAAGTAGATGCTTTTTATTAGGACAAAAAAAAAAAAAGATGTGTGAAGGATGTTTATCATCAACCTAAGAACAAATGTCCATGCCCTCCATTACTTTGAAATATTACAGCTTAGATATTTCTTGGTTACTTGAATTAATGAGGTGCTTCTATTGTTGCAAACTATCTATTATTCTAAAGATGAAAGAAATCACACAGATCATCCACCTCATCTAAGGGTAACCTTAAGCTCTATCATATTAAAAGCCTGATATTTAATGAATTCTTTCGAAGCTAAAGGATGAAAGAAAATCTACTGTGTACTGATTATAATATTATATATACTGCTCCTTAGCAACCAATGTTTTGTCTTTCATGTGACTAGAAGTTTATGGGGGAGAAAAGGGAGTAACTGAAAATAAAACCATTTGGACAGTTACAAAGGAGCCCTAGTGGCGTAGCAGGTTTGGTATTAGAATCCTCACTAAAAGACTGGCGGTTCAAATCCACCAACTGCTCAGTGGGAGAAAGATGAGGTTGTCTGTTCCCATAAAGATTTAGTCTCAGAAACTCTAGGAGCAGTTTGACTCTGTCCTAGGGGGTTGCTATCAGTCAGTAGTTACTGGATGGCAGTGGGTCTGAGTTTTGGTGACCAGCTACAATTCAGTGAGGCAGCATAAACAAATGTTTCCAGGGCAACAGCCGCAGTACTTTTCACCAAAGACCAAGGGTAAACATATGTAGCACATACCAAAGCCTGAGGGCACCTCCTAGCTCACTCTAGCTCAGGAGGCTAGTTCTGAGAGCATCCTTGGAACAAAAAGAAGCTCACTCCTGGAGGCACCATTTAGTTCTAGATCACACAGTGATGGAATCCTTGAATTCCTGGGAGGAGACCTGGGTTCAATTCTTGACCAAGTCACCTCAAGCACAGCCACTACCCAAATGTCCCTGGAGGCTTGCGTTGGGTACATTTGGCCTGTGGGTTAATGCACTGGACTGCAAAGTTGGTTTGAACCACAAGATCGAAGGTTCAAGCTCACCAGCCGCTCCTCAGAAACCCTATACAGACAGGGTTGCTGTGAATGGGAACTGACTCGATGGCACTGAACAACAACAACAGCGGAGCTTCCAGATTAAGACACACTAGGAAAAAAGGGCTGGCAATCTACTGCGGAAAGTCAGCTAATGGTTCAATCTGGAATTGCTCATGGGGACGCCGCAAGATTCAGCAGCACTCTGTTCTTTTGTGGATGGGGCCCACCGTGAGTGGGTGTGACTACAAAGCAGAAAAACAGCCCAGATGGCATTCCTTCTTTGCAGCTGACTTGACCAAGTCATTTAGGGTACCAATTTTTTAATAACAATAAGGGAAATGTTATTTTTCTATAAGTTAGAATATGAGGTGCTTGGGAAATTAGTAAGTAGCCGCCCAGGTGGTTTCTACACACCCTTATCTTTCTCTGCTTCATGGAAGGATGTTGTTGTTGTTAAGTACCATGGAGTCGGTTCCGACTCATACTGAACCTGCACAGGGTTTCCGAGGCTGCCGGAGCAGAAAGCAGCTTGCTCCCGCGGTACAACTGGTAGTTTCGAACGGCCGACCTTGAATTTAGCAGCCCGATTCATAACCACTAAGCTACTACTAGATGGGGATATTTAGCTAAGGACCTCAAACATTAATTTAGGGACAGAGTGGGCTCTGTCCCTCCACCACAGGTTCTGAAACACTTACTGCGTGAGACTCTGGCCCGCGTGCTCCGAGCTCTCCCGCGGAGGGTCCTTGGTGGCCGCCTCCAAACCCTGTCTCTGGGCTGGACGCGGGCTCGACTCTTGGCGCCCCGCAGAGGGGTTCCAGTGGCGTCCGGAACCCATCACGCTACTGCGAGTGTACATGGCTCAGACCGCCGTCAGAGTAACCGGACCAGGACACTTGATGAGTCTCGAGATGAGATTCCAAAGAGCAAGGGTGGCAGTTTTAACAGCTCAGTTTCGATTTTCTAACAGCTGAGTTTCAATTTCCCGCTAACCGCCTCAGGCTGCCCAGGAAGTGATTCGCCTTTGTTCTCCACTGAGGCACCCTTGACTTGACCGCCTTTAACAGATCTGGCCCCTCCCCGCTCCCGGATATTGAGTTGAGGGCTGACTCTGGGTACTACAGGTGAATGAGCTTAAGGTCTCACAACTGCCTTAAAGGATAATGCAGTTGTAAGGAGAGTTTATAGGCGAGACGTCACAGAATTCTGAGACAGTGAGAAATGGGTCAACAATACACTAACCTTAAGACACTAGAGATGAGACACCACTAAAGATTACCATTTTTGTTTTCCAGTAATAACTGCTGTTTGGTTGCTGTGTTGATACCTTCAAGTTAAAAGAAATGGAAACTAAAACATAATCCAAAAGTCACAAAACAGGAAAAGGAACAGAGAGGTAGATATAGATAATTCTCCAGGCACCTTGCTAAGTTAATTGACTAGACATTCAACATGACATTATTAAATACCTACTCTATGCAGGGAAAAGTCCTGCGTGGTACAAATGCTTTTGCAAACTACTCAGAGTCTTAACAAGCTCTGGTAGCATATTGGTTGCTAACCTCAAAGTTAGCAGTTTGAAACTACCAGCAGTTCTGCCAGAGAAAGATGAGTCAGAAATTCTGCTCCCGTAAAGATTTACAGCCTTGGAAACCACTGAAGTCTTGGTGTGGTGCTGTAGGATAAGCACTGGATGGCTAATCACAAGATCAGAGGTTTGAGTCCATCAGTCATTCCTTGGGAGAAAGATGAGTGAGGGTCTCTACTCCCTAAAACATCTACAGCCTCAGGAACACTAAACAGGCTTGCACTATACAAGCTTGCAACACCACATAACAAAAACTAGCCTAAAGGTTGCTGGTTGAAGCCACCTAGCAGGGCCATGAAGGAAAGGCTTGGAGATCTGCTTCTGTAAGATGAACCCACTGCCATCGAGTGGGTTCCGACTTATATTATATAGGGTTTCTGCAGCTGTAAATCTTTATAGGTACAGAAAGCCTCATCTTTCTCCTAGGAGGCTTGGTGGGTTTGAACTGCCAACCTTGCAGCTACCAACACAGTGCTTATCCTATATAACACTGCAGCCAAGAAAATCCTATGGGGCAGTTCTACTCTGCAACATATGGGGATCACCATGACTTGAAATTGACTCAGTGTCACCAGGTTTAGTCTTGGTAAGGAATTGTGCCATGATTCAGCTATGGTGTGGGGCTTTTTAAAATCCAGATTTGCAGAGACTCAGTTTCTATGGGTCTGGGAGTGGGTGCCAGGTGATTTCCTCATATGGTTCCCCGTTAAGCACTAGTGACAGTTCCAAGTATACAAACATGAATGAAGACTCCCCCTCACATCACAAACCAAACCAAACCCATCCATCAAGTTGATTTTGTCTCATAGCGACCCTTTATCAATACTAAAGGACAGAGTAGAACTGCTCCATAGGATTTCCAAGGCTGTAAATCTTGGTGGAAATGGATTGCCTCATCTGTCTCCCTGTAAGCAGCTAGTGGGTTTGAACCGCCAACCTTTTGGTTAGCAGCCAAGTGCTTAATCTGCTGCACCACCAGGGCTCCTTAACCTGTGTTCTAGGAGACAGGTAAACAAATGCTAATGCCTCAAGGAATAGTAGTGAAGTAGAAAGCAGATGTGTAAAGCCAATGGAAACACAAGGAAAAGACAGATTCACCCTCGTGTTGCAGAAGAAAGGCCAGCCAATCTATTTCCATAGATTTAAAAAAACAACAACAAAGGAACCCCTTGCCCAGGAATCAATTCTGACTCACGGCAGCCCCAGGTGTTTCATAGACTGGCTCTTCATAGGGTTTTCAATGGGTGTGAGCTTATGGGAGGAATCCCTGAGTGCCGCAAATGGTTAAGTGCTGAGCTACTAACCAAAAAGTTGTCAGTTCCTACCTAGTCAGGGCTGGAAACCAGGCCTGGCAAACTGTTTCCAAACAGTTCCAATCTGCTTCTATGATCATAGACTTGAAGGTCTTATAGAGTGCAATTCAAGCCTGCAGACATGGAGACACCAAGAGTCAGAATCAACTTGATGGCAACTTGCAACAGCAATCTTACAACTTTTCTTCCAAGGCAGTCTGGGAGATTTCGGCTGTCAGCCTGTCAGTCAGTAGTTGAGTGCAAACTGTTTCCTCCACCCAGGGACTTTTTCTATAAGACTGAAAAAAGAAGTTGCGGTGGACTCCACCTCAGAGAGTTTCATGATGTTGTCCTTCTAGAAGCTGACCACTTGGCCTTTCTTCCAAGGCACTGTGGACCACAGTCCTTTCCTGACACTCATGGGGTCTCCAGGAGTCAGAAGTGACTTGATAGCAACAATCCAGAAGGGATTTGAGTAACTTAGGAAAAAGCCATTTAAGATTGAACCCGAAAGACGTAGGAGTTCACCAGAAGGAGACAACAGGATGGCAGTCATGAGGTGAGGGTACAATACAGTTGTAGTAGCCCCACCGCAGGTCTGTGAGCCACTTAGGAGCTAGGATTGTCTTATTTACAGTCTCAGGACTTCGTACAGAAAGACAGACAAATGTTTGAAAGGTAGTGAAAAAATGACATGGAAAGGTGTTTCAGTATCTGGGAAGGGACAGAGTGGGAGAAAGTCAGGGGTCATGGTAGAAAAGGGAGTCGGGACCCCCATGACATACCTCTTTTGGGTAGCCCAGAGGTTCTCAAATTTCATTGTGCCCCAGAATTTCCCAAAGAGTGTGTCAAAACACACATTTCTGAGTCCCAACCCAGAGTTTCTCTTGGTATTCTGTAGACCTGGGGTGGGACCCAAGAATTTCCTATCAGGAAATTTTCCACATGATACTGATGTTGCTGGTCCAAGGGCCACCCTTTGGTTACCACTGCTACAGGCAATGGGAAAAGCACAGAAGGTTTTCAGTGGGATTTCAAAATAATACAGGCTATTTGAGGAAAGTTCTGCTAGCAATGTGAGGGGGGGAAAATTGGATAATGAAGAAACAAAAATCAAGGAGATAAATTAAGAGCCTTGTTATTATAACCTAATAGTGTGAAATCTAGAAAGCAGGGGGCAAAATCAAGACATTCCAAATGAATCATGAATACAGCTACATTAAAAACAACCCAGAACTGTGTGAGAAAGAATTGAGACCAAGAAGCCACAAATAGAAGGGTGAATAGCTCTTTATTTTATAGTCAGAAAGTCCTTGCTTTGAATTCCAGCTCTGCCACTTACTAACCATGTGACCATCTTCAACTTTAATTCCTCTAAGGCCCCATTTCCTCATCTGCATGATGTGAAATTGAGGTTACAATATCTACCCTGTGAGTCATTGTTGTTAAGTGCCAATGAGTCAGTTCTGAGGGGTGGTTGGTGGGTTTGAACAGCCGACCTTGTGGTTAGTAATTAATGTGTTATCCTATAGCGCCACACCTTGTGAGGAATAAATCAGATAATCTATACCTGTGATTTTCAACTAGCACCGATTTTTCCTCCCAGATGATATTAGCAATATCTGGAAACATGGTTTCACAATTGGGCAATGAGAGAGTAGAGGTTTGGTACTGGCATCTTTTGCTAAAGGCCCCGGATGCTACTAAACATCCTACAATACATAGGGCAGACCTCAAAACATGATCTGGACCAGAATATCAGTAGTGTTGAGGTTAAGATACCCTGATCTACATAATAGGACTGACTGATAGTCGCAGTTCTTGTTGTTAAGTGCCATCAAGTTGGTTCTGACTGATGGCAACACAGTATAGGGTTTCAGAGGCTTTAAATCTTTGTGGGAGCAAAAAGCCTCATCGTTCTCCTTTGGAGCAGCTGGTGGACTTGAACCGCCGACCTTGTGGTTTGCAGTCCAGTAATGAATTTAGCACTGTGGGGTTAATGCATTAGACTGCATAGTTAGTTTGAATTGCAAGGTCGGTGATGCAAACTCACCAGTCGCTTGTTGGAAACCCTATATAGGGTTGCTATGAGTCGGAATCGACTTGATGGTACTTAACAACAACAGCAACAATGAATGACAAATGTGGAGCTTCTGCATGGTGCTAAGGGGCTCAAGGCTAAACTGAAAAGTTGGAGGTTTGAACTCATCAAGAGAGGCTTGCAAGAAAGGCCCAATGACTCGTTCTGAAAGATCAGACTTTAAGCACCCTGTGGAGTGCAGTTCTGCTTTGACACGGATGAGGCCCACTATGAGTCACAGCTGACTTGATGGCCACTGGCTTTTTCTGTTGCTTTAGTTTTATGGTTACCTTATGGTTCTGTCTTTATGATTGAGCAGGTGACAGTCGTTAGCCAGGAGGAGAGAGGAATTTGGGCATTTGATTTGGGATTTGTAGGGTGATGTGCTTGCTTGCAAGGAGGGTTCCTGGAGTGGTGGAATCGACTTGGTGGCACTTAAAAAAAAAAACAAAAAAAAAAACCTGACAATATACTTTCAGGGTAAGAAATGCAGATCAGGATCTCAGCTAAAATGGGACCAGTGTGGTCTTTGTAAAGGCCATCTTCTTCAAAATCTTTTCTGTTGGGAAAATACCACTGGAAGGTTTGTTTCAGAGGAGAAAGCAATTACTATAGTGGTTGAATTAAAATACAAATTCCAATGGGGGAAAACCCAAATTAGGGGAAACCCAGCTCTCCTTAAGGAGCTAGTAATAGTGATGTTTTTTGGGATTTTTTCCAAATACACTTAGTTAACCATATTTATATACATGATAACACAACAAAGTTTCAAACAGGAGACAGAAATACAGGATAATAGGCAAAAACAAATTGCTTGCTCTGTTTCTCATTGAAAACACATTTTCATGTTTGTTTGTTTTTAAATATGAATGTGATTT